CTTTCGGTTTTTTCTCCTTTCTCCGGCAGCGCCCTCCACTCCGACACTACCACAGTGTCCGTGAACTCCCCCTGTAGAGCGCCCAGACAGCGACACCCAGTGGCCGCTTGGTGGAAGGGCAGCAGGTATTTTTGAATTAAAACAACGGCACGGAGAGGGTTTCATTTCCTGGTTTTTACCAACACTTTAACACAGAAAATAAAGGCATTTCTATCAGATGTCACCCCACAGACATCCACATAGGCCCCACACACACCAGACAAAGAGAAGAACACGTTAAAGTTCAGTCCAGATCAGGAGCCGTTGCAGAGCAGCGTGACAAAAAGCCAGGACGGCAGGGTTTTAAATCACATATCAGGGTTTTGAGTCAATACAGCTCCTTCACATGAGTCTCCAGCCCTGTTGTGTTTTCTTGTTCTTGAAGCAGGAACAAGACGCTAAAGGGGTTTTTAGCTTCCCCCCCACCCCCCCCTCATAACCCAATCGCACGCCAGAGTCCATCTTTCCTGTGGCCAAACAAATGGATAAGTCAATCTTTCCACTACCAATCATGCAACGCTGTCCATTTTTCAAGCACCCCGCCCCCCGGCGCTTTCAGTCGTCCAATCCCCATCATGTGACGTAACCCCTGCCATGCCTAAATCTCCCATCATGCCTCTACAACCTTCATAGAGTCACTCTGAACCCCCAACAATTGGCCAGTCCGGGTCAAAATGGGCTATTGTGAATTATTACATGTGTAAAAGCAGACGCAGCGCACCCAAACCTGCTTCTGGTGCTTTGTTCTATTTATTAGAACCGGTTTAAATAAGGGTTAGCCCCGGGTTTCCCGCCCAGGGCCTCCACCTCTGAGTCTGGGAGACTCAAACACACTCCCGTATAAATACAATCCCGCCCCTTGCGGCTGGTGGGTTACTTTGGTAGCACATATACTAAAATTGGAACGATACAGAGAAGATTAGCATGGCCCCTGCGCAAGGATGACACGCAAATTCGTGAAGCGTTCCTCATTTTAATCAACTTAGAAGACGTTCAGCTTCGGTGGGGCACAGCCAGAGGCCCAGCAGACACTCACCTTGTCTCTAAACCCATTTATCTGGGCAAAACTACAACAAAACCCCACCGAAGGGACAGTTTTTAACCCTAACCCTGCCCTTTGTTCATTTTTTCTTTATTTGGTAGGATGCATGTGGAGAGGACTCAGACTGTTTGTTGGCCCTAGAATTAAGTTTGTTAAAGCCTCATTAAAATAGATAAATACGAACTAAAATGTAAACAAGTCTCCGCCTATAGAGACCGGAAGTGCATTCATTTATATTTGTAATTACAGTATGTTAAACAGTGGACACCATCGTGATCATCAGGAAAACAATGTAAAATTTAAATGTCTCTTTTTCTTAATTGAACATGTAAGAAACATGAAATATAGAGGAAAAGAAGCTAGAAACCTCCTAAACTAGGAACTTGTCTTGCTTATTTTTCTTTGCAGCTACAGGACCAGCAATGCAAATGATGCCAGTGGCCAGGGAAGAGATGGAGGTGAGATGAAATGATCATGATATGATGAAATGTTTTCAATTTTTGTTAGTGACTTTTTTAAAAGTTCATCATGTGAAAGGTTTTCCTTAATAAGACATGAGTTCTCCTGACAACATGATTTGTGAATTGTTTGGTCTCTGTATTGACAGTAGACTATAGTGTTTTGCCTGAGATAATTGGGACACATGGGGGAAAGATTCAAAAAGTCACTGGTCCCAGTACTTGTGAGTGAAGCCCTGTGGCATAGTGGTGTTCACTTTTTGTTAATGGCGACTATAACACCAAAATGCTTGTAAGATGTTGCATTCTATTTAACTGGTTGATTATAATATATACAGTATATTATAATTTTTGTTTTTCAGTAAATCTGCTTGAATGTTAAAATATGTTTTCAGTTGGAGAAGCCACAAGCAGAGTTTGTGTCTGACAAAGACTTTCTGTTCTCAGTTTGAGTTTCAAAATTCAGTAAATAAATATTCCTGTTTTTTTCATAAAAGGCACAGGAAGTCAACAAACCTGAAAAATAAGCTGGGAACCAGGAGGCTGTTTTGCTCAGGTCAACACCTAAAACATCATCAACCCAAAGTTAATTTGATACAAGACACTGAGCTTTGACAGCCGCTGTATTCAGGAGTTCAGACAGAGGACAGTCTGGGTTGGAGGCTTTAGTCAGAGACAATTCACTGTCACCACTAAACAAAGGAAATGCTTTCAAATCAGTTTTAGTTGTGAGAACAGATCTCTTCCATCACACTTAGTCTGGTTTACTGTCTGTCTGCTGCAGCATCACCCCCTGCTGGTCGCTCTGACAAATTACATCCTGGATTTAAGGATAAGGATAATCACCTTTATTGGCCAAATGTTTTTTTTTATTTTTTTTATTGAACATCATATTTACAAACATACAAGGCAAGTAAGTAGAACTGTCTACAGAACCCATTAAGAACTGAGCAACAAATCACACACCTTAATAACTGAACAGAACAAAGTAATAAATTGAAGAGAGAGAG